TTCTGCCGAAGTTATTAAAAATGTAACAAACTTTGCAGAACATCATATTTCTAAAGTGTGCATTGGAAGTATATTGCAATGTTTCTGTCTGTGATTCCGAAAAAATGCCACTTGGAAACGTCAAGCCTGCCCAATTTTTAAGCGAACTGCCATCGATTAAATTTTTAGAAAAACAGATGCTTTACTAATCCCGGAAGAAGCTGAACAAAAATAGTGAAACAACATCGTTCATTAGCTCCTTCAGTATCCTAGAGGTTTCTGTTAGTAAAGGCCTCATCTTCCTTGACAGCTTTCAATAACATGTATCGTTACATACAAGAAAATCATCCCATCAGGTTGCCGAAAATATTACAATTGCTCCCAAATGCCATAGAAAATAATTTGATAAAGGCAAATGTCGTTTCATGGAAATACAAACAAAGCTTGTCCCGCCGGAACACCGCTTTCTCCAGAATATATCTTCTGATATCTAGACTTTGTTTATTTGTAATGTTTTTGGTTCATAGGGCATCCAGTACAAAATTTAGTAAACGTTTTTCCGCATTTACCTTAAAATGTAACGAATAATACTTAATATATTGCAAATTAAAACTTGCTCTTTAGGTTTATTTTATCACTGTAAAGGTACTGCCGGGCGTTATAGAGATACGCAATGGAGCGGCTTCGGATATCTACCGTAGTGTCTGGTGAATGAGGTTACTTCCTGCAGCTACAAACTATCACTGTCTTGGAAACTTCCACCCTACCATATAAGCTCACATTGAGCAATGTCGTTTAAGTAAGATGCTTTATGTGAACTTGCATAAAATCTAATTTGTACGTTTTGTAGTGAACATATGACATAGATTTGCACACCTGATGGCAACAAATGTTTCCTATGCCTAGTCAAGCTATTTGCTATACGTGGGGTATTGCTCATTGTTTCGCACCATCATCATGCATGTGGTTAGCTAGCAGATGAAAATATGCTGTGTGTTCGCGATTTCATCATCTAATTTCAAATCGATTTCATCATCCGTTTAGCTTTTGTTATTCAAGAGAGGAAAAAATCATTTTCCAACAGCTTTCATAATAGCACTATTTGGGGTTATGCTAACTGGTTCTCAAAAGTTTTGAAATAACTCAACTATTCAGAAGAAAATGTTGCTACATCTAGAAGAGAAACAAGGCTAAAACGACTCGGCATTTGTGAATGAAGCAATTTTAGTGGACAGTCCCAAAGAAATCTGTATGTTCCAAACACTAATAATGAGGGGCAGCTGATGTTTTAAACGGACTTATGGTGGTCGTTTCCCTAGTACTAATACTTTGATTTAATGGACATTCTGTGGATTCCATAACTGGATAACCATGGTAAAAGTGATTTTCTAGTAGAGATCGAGGTACTTGCGACGGTTATGCCTACTCTGAGGTCGGAGTTTGAATTCTGAAATCGGAGATTGTAAAGTTGCACTCTATTTGGGAACTACGTGCGAAATGATTTCTATATTAAAGGAGCGTTTAATTGCGACTGGCTCTCCAGTGTATGTAGGCTTTCCGGATGCGAAAAGCATGAACGTGTGAGGGATCTGTATTGTATCATGTGCATGCATAACGTTGTTAAGTATGCACGATACTACTTGTACACAAAACCAACGGCTATCTGTCTAGTCCAGTCAAAATAGAGACACTATGATCTGTCAGACAGTTCCGGCAAAAAACCCCGGCTCGCTTGCTGTCTGTTATTTTGAGCGACCAGTAAAGCTAACGCAGACAGAGTTGGGTGTCCGGCTGTTTGCTGGTCGTTATCTAGTTTTACATTTACTATACGTAAATTAGGAGCATCACGCACACCACAGCCGATTTATATAGAAATGTGCTATGGTTACATACTGATTGAATAGCTTTGTTCATGATAATGGTGAACATAATGCATAGTTTAATGGGATATTTATTTGGTCTAACACCTATTGGATAGCTTTCAATATTTTATCAACGGTTTGTTGTGAGTCTTTAAGTGTGTATTTTAGATCTGGGTAGAACCTGTTCATAACGCAAATTTCTCTGAAACCGAGGTCTTATGATCCGTTTGCAGATGTAATTAACGCGTGCAGATCTGTTTGAAAATCTAAATTTGTTTTGGCATAGTGTCATCCTTTTGGAATAGTTCGGGCACTTAAACTGCAAACACTAAACAAAAGAAGCTACGCTTTTTAGCTAACCGAAGGATGGTTGATTTGCTTTGTTCTTCAGAGACAGTTTCTTGCATCAGTGAAAAATTGAAAACGGCACAAATATTGTGGGAAATTCCCACTTCAGTCTAGCAAGTGTTTCACTTGCTTTGATCTGGACGTGACCGGTTGACGGTCGATTGGTTATCATAAACCGGAAAGAGCCTCGGAAACTTGAAGACAAAGGAACTTTCAAGATGAGTAAAAAGTTATCTGCCCACCAGCGGTGGTGCGCTATCATGCTACAGTGCGACTTTCTGAAAGCACACTAACAGTTTTATCGGTCGTAGCTACAACATTTTGCGACACCCATATGCGGCTGGTATGATTTGCGCTGACTTGAGTAGCACACGGACGAGCAACACAACAAGTGAATGCAACAGAGTAGAGCCTGGACAAAAGCTGATCATGGCTTACAGGAATGCACACAAAATAAGTCGCACGTTGTGCAGTTTTCGCTTGAAAATTGCTTGAGTTTGAATGTTTCTTTTTGAGTAATTAAACACGATGATAGTTCAACCTGCATGTAGTGAGCGGCGCATGGCAAACTTTTAAGCCAGACTGAAATTGGCCGACTTCACATAACTAATACGGTTAAGACCGCTGTAGTGGTATAACAATTTAGGTGATCTGGAAGCAAAAACATAGGACTACGTGCGATAAGCGTTCTCTTTTGAACCTACATACATATAACCCGTGCAGCAAACATAGGGCAGCAAGTTCTTCAAAGACCACCAGAAAGTGCATACCCGGATTAAAACATTAATTGCAGCTGAGCTGCACTGGTTTTCCGCAAGTGTGATCAAGAAAAATGATCTTTATCAGAGAAGGTGGTATAACGATTCTTGGGAAAAGTAAGTAATGAGGCGAGCTGAAGCTCTGTTGATTGAGCATCTTGATATTTGCTGTTTGCTTCATGATTTACACCTTCTGCGCAACAAAGCAAACCCGCGGACGCTTGCGTTCAGAAAACAATCTCACCATTTAAGGGTGAATGAAGTAAGGGATTGCAAGACAAAGACTACCGAGTTCATTATATATTTCACTGATTATGGGTCTAATTTTCTGACTTTACTAAACATTAATTGCTACCTTGCATTAGATCTTAAAGCACTATATGCGCGATAAGTAAAAGTAAATAAATTACTTTCAATAAAACCCATTTTCGTCTGCGAAAAAAGAGGAATGAGGAAAGCGGTGCGTTTCCGAACCTAAAAGTGACGGGAAGCGAGTTGCTTTGGTAAAAAGTGCAATCAAAACAGATGAGCTTTCTAATAACACAAAATCCAGGATAAATGCCCAGTTTTTGAGAGGTTAACATGAATTAGCCTTATTAGGTTGGGTTTGCTGATAGGGGGATTCAGATAACATCAACATCCGATTAAAAAACAGTAACTCTTTTGATTTTTTCAGTAAGTCTATTTTGCCATAAGATGGAGACGTTAATTCTAAACATAATGGCGCGTATCTTTATACAGTTCATAAATTCCTCAGAACCATGCCTTTTATTTCAGACATTTTATACCAATCATTTTTTGCTGTAACATTTGTGCCTGTGTGCTGTTTGTTTTTGACATGACTTCATTCACTGGTGTGTAAAAGTAGATGATGACATTATAATTGGCCAGATATTGAAAGTGTACTTGCGTCTTGGAAAATACACGGGAGAAAGAATAAGCAGGTTATGATAGGGCTTAGTTACATAATAACCATTTTACCAATATTTTTTTACAGCAACCAACCAGGAGCGACTGGTTTCCTTTGGGTAGCGAGATGTGTTAGCTAGTTTGTCTGAGCAGTATGGGATCAGTTTTGTGTATATTCCTAAACTAATTTTTAACTCAGGCATAAAAGAACTCACATTATGTCAAACAGATTTTCAGATGTGCAGAAAGACATACATTTTACTTTGTGTGGTAAAGATTCAGTATATTGGCTGAAATCTTTGAAAATATTCCTCAATAAATGACTTGAATGAAGTTTTAGTTCACTATTGGTTACTTGAATTTTAGGCGTAAAGAATTTTGGTGTCTAACACTGTGACACACCTACCATTAGCTGACTGGGTTTGAGTATCCTATTCTAATGGATATGCAAGATGTATATCCGTAAATCTACGGTTTGATTAGAAAACGGAATAAAAGCCGACGCGTATACCTTTAAAAGAAAATATTTTCTGCTGATAGTGAGGATACGCCAAAGAATTTTTTCTGTTTATTTACGACACTTTTGTTTAAACGGTCCTACACGTGTGACCAACCACTGTAACTTTACTTTGGCAGCATCCAGCCACACCCATTGAGTAAAGTCACAAGATGACGCGGTAGTTGTTGGAGAAATCCACAAAGGCCAACGTTAACACGGATTATGCTGCCGGACTATACTATCCGTCATGAAGAGATAAGAATGATCATAAGATGTGATTGATAGATAACTGGGGACAATAGTAAATCCTTCAGCGAAAATACGCATGCGATTACAAGAAAGCAAAGCTTTTTGTTATGGGTTCCATGTCAGGGTACAGACAGAATTTTGAGGTCACTGAAACTGTCAAAAGCACTAAAATATATACCAACATTTCATAAATGGTCCTTCAAAAATGAAACCATTGAATCCGGAACGACTTTTCTGTTTTCGACTTACCTGTTTCACCATTGAAACCTTACCATGTGATATAGTTGAAGTTAAATTTTTATGATTACTGCTAGTCTCTCAGGCAACATCTGTGAAACCATGGCATAAATGCATTCGCTCAATCGATATAACCAATTTTTCCTGATGGCACTTACCCTGATGTGACATGTTTTTGTAGGGCGTAGCCTCATCTTTCACATATTCGTCATTCAGCTTGGTGCTGTCTTGTTTTGTTGTTTCCAGAGCTGTAAAAGAAATATAACTTACGGTGAAATACATCTAAACTGGCTTCAAATGTCATGGTTAACCAGGCCTAGTGCTTTTCCCCCCATTAAAGTCAATCAAGGAGCTTCGTATTATAGCAGCTTTAAACGAACAGTTTCTGTTGTGTCTTAAAATCTAACGAAAATATTCGTACAAAAATCACCGCCAGATGGACAGAAGCATTGACAAGCTTATAGTCAGCAACATTGAATTCGTGAAGTTGGACGTCATTTTAGTATAATTGCGTTTTGCGTAAAAATTACCATGGTTCTCTTTAAACGTACGCAAAACCGATAGACGATAGAACTTCTCTTTGAGCTTGGAAAGGTTGATTTGGCAAATGTAGTTCCCGGCATCAGACGGTGTCACGTTACGAATAACCAGAGTCCACGACCGGGGATCGGATTTATCAATACTGTAGCGTTGACTGGCTACTTGGTGACCAACTGTGAGTTCTCTTAACGATCCCTCGCGCCACCATGACATCTAAAAAATAAATTATGCAGTTTATCAGTAGTAGTATCACAACAATTTTTAGCAACTGAACAAGAATTGTGAGTAGTATGGCCTGGTGAATTTGGTGTTTGACGTTGTAGGCAAGGTTTGGAAGTCATGTTTTGGTAAGCTACAACCACGCAGATAGCGGGAGGAAAACATTTCTGTCAAAATAAAGAGACATAACCCTCAAATATCATCTCGCAAAAAAACAACTATAGATTCACTAGGCAGCAGAGTTCAAAGCAGACGTGTCCACATCAAATCACCATTGGATTTATACTCCCTATAGAATCTTCTCATCTTACTGCAAGTTCGCTTTTTTTCCTCAGGGAGCAATTTTATCTTTAAAGGAAGACCAAGAATTTAGTGATTCATTGGAGAATTTAGTGCAAAGCCAGGTATCAAGAGAAAGATGGCAATTATGAATGAGGTGACTTTATGACACAAGCCAAAGTGCCGACCATATCCAACTGCTCAAATGCTGAATGAATGAGCTGAAGAAATTCGAGTGCAGAATCCTGTTGTTACTCAGCTAGCCGTAAACCTCTCCCCTCAAGCTAGATTGCTACATTCTTAGTGGCTTTTATTTGCCTGTACAATCCAGCTACTAGTAACTGCTAACTTTTCTTGGGTACTATCTGTTCATGCCATTTATTGGTTGTGGTCAAGGTTGGCACACAACTTTAGAAACAAAAACGTCTGAGGCAGGATTGACATATTAATATAACTGGCTTCCAATATCACTTTCGAGAACTGGTCGCAAAATCTTAAGTATTTAGGTGCCCATAACTCTGAATTGGAATGAGATGTTTACACGTATGGATTACAGTTGAACAAAAAATTGTGCGAAATGACCAAGCATCTAAGTGGACCCAACCAAATCAAATCGCAACGAACCTATGTAAGAAGCAAGGCTGAAAGAAGCCAAGACTCAAGTTAAACAATCATAAGGATAATGTCAGGAAAAATAATGAAAGAATTCTCTATATAAAATGGCAGCCCACCAAATCTAACTGTATCGAAATGTTTCGGGAATTGTGTAAGTCATTACCAGAAATCGCCGGGACACCAAGGACAAAAGTCCAATTGATAGTGGTTACTTACTGAATCAATCGAAAGGCAGCGGTCTTATCTTTCCTGGGGATAGAAGAGCAGGTATGAACCCCGAAGCTAGGAGGCTAATTCGGCCACTGTGTATTTGCTGTTTTACAAAGCCTAAGAACATAAACTAACCTCACCATTCCAATCAGTTGATGAATTATTCCTGCTCATGTGCTTACTGGCTTTCAACGGTTAAGCGTGTTGTAAGCTCTGCCTTTATATACCCAGACTTTGGAAGATACGACAAACGATACAAACCCTGCTTAGAGGAGTGACAGTGGTGTTAAACCCACCGTCGATTTTAGCCATTTTAAAGCTCACTGTTTGGGCACAGTCTCTCAATATACATCGGTCATTCTTCAGTTAATCACGAGGCCGAAAATATAAAACAAATAAAGACACCGTGAAGATGTTTGCAATCGAACACTTAGTGGGCTAGCAGGAGTTTTTGCCATCTCCGCTATGGAGCATCATATCATGAAAATTTACATTAGAGATGTTAGGACATAAATAAAAAGTTATTTTTAACATACCCCAACCGAAAAAGAGCAAAAATGATATCCATCAACGATTTATTCAGGTCTCTTGGACCCACCATATTATTATACGATTCTCCGGTCTTACTAAGATGTCATCCTCTTTATTATTATTATTACAGAGAAACTTTCTCTCCCCGCACTAAATGGATCGAACATGTCGTGGGTGTGGCATTTGGTAAACTACTGTTTGACGGCCATATACATATTTTTCAAATGTCTTTAAAAATTCTAAAGTATCCAGGTGCATACACTCTGTAATTTTATATGCGTTCAGGTTTTCGACATAGAGTTATATTTGGAAAGCAACTCTGAAATATGAAAACAGTCCAAATGACACAAAAACCTGGGTCGGAAAGTTGCAGCTTATGCAAAAATTGGTCTCCAATTTGTGGTCTGCATGGCTTACTAATTTGGCGAGTTTCGACAAATACACTCTCCCGCGTGTCGTTTCGGTTTTCATGGAAGATGCATCTGAATTCTGGCCGAGACTCTCCTTTGTGGTGTTCTTTTTAACTGAATGTGATGCACCAGGCCGCCTAATGTTCCAGCTGGTACGGTATTCGGCATATCGCTATACCATGTGTACACATGGTGCACCATTCATAAGAATGCTGATAAACCTCCGAGAGTACATAACCGGTAACTTTCTTCGTGAGGCTCATCAAGTGCACGCAGTTCACGATTTTCTATCAACTTTACGTTCTACTCGACACCGGCCGTGGGCTGTAGAAGGGTCTGTTGAAACTTACTGAATAGTGTGCTACATGTATAAAACGTATTGCGATACTTCGAACGCCGTACAACTGTAACATGAGGTGGTTTGGTGCAGCAAGTTTGCTTGAAGAAGCACATCATGAATGAGGGTTTCATTTTGGTTACAGGTGAATCTAGACAAAACTAGTATGCATATGAGTGTACAAGTCAAATTTCACGCATCCTGTGTTCAAGTAGAACATTAAGTTGACGGGAACGCGGGAACTGCGCCTACCTAGGAGGTGCCCAGAAAAAGGACACCCATCGTCTCTTGTCAAACTTTTTTTTCAAGAAACGTGTATGACCAGTGTGCATTGTTTATACAAGGTGACGAATTCTCTATCTCCGTGTGAGTTCCAGCTCAAATGCTAGACAGTGCGGTGCACTTACCCACCTTGATATTCTAACCAACCGCTCAAACGGAAGTCATGTATTTCAATTGCCATTTGAAGTGCCACTCCACATAGGTGTCCCAGACCAATCGACTTCCTGGCATATGAAAAATCTGTCTCGGTCTATCTTACGTTTCAGACACTCACTCCCTGGGAGGCAGTGAATACACCGAGAAACATTTATCTGTTGTATTTACTCAGTTTCTTTATCCAACCGTTTCAACTAAGTACCCAGTAAACGGTTGTGGAAGGTTGATCATTGCCAACGGTAACAACATTTTAAGCAGGCCAGTTAGCACTTCCAAGTAGCGCGTAGCAGTTGCAAGAAGATTTTGCCAAATTAACAAAAGTTTTTATTTTTGAAAGTGACCGTGACAATTTTACCAAAAAACCATTTTTAATGGTTTTAACTATTTTAAAAATTTTTAAACCGTCATAATCAGTGAATAAATAGCTTGAGAAAATTTACATATAAACCGGCGGTTGATTGCAACAAACATACAAAAGTTCGGGTTGCGTAAACTAATTTGACCTGATAAACCCTGTCCCCACCATCTCGTCGAAGGAACTACACATATTTATGCACTTAATTTTTGAAATGCCGATTTAACTCAAAACGTATTGATAATCAACAATTGGTGTTTTATTTATTGATACTCTTTTAGGCAGATGTGAAAGTAATTAATTGAAGGATGGAAAGGTCCGTCGAGAAGTGCCATCCTCTTACAAAGGACTAATCGATCCTACCCTTCCATTTCACGGTTAAGATGAACAAACAGGTATTCTTCCTGTTTGAATATCGAAGTAAATTAGATATCAAAATGGTCGCTACAGATATCTATATAAATGGACAGGACCACGCAAAATTTTCAAGTGTTGTGTGCTGCCGAGACAGATGCTGACGCACAGAAAAAACCGAGACTTACAGAACTGCTCTGATATACTAGAAGCTACACTGAAGAACGTCACTAACATTCTGGAAGCCAGTCATTTTTTAGGTTGTTTCCAGCCTAAAATAACCAACAATAGGGCTCCTGGGCCAACCAAATTAACCGTAATGACCGTTGCTAAGTGACCCATTTAAATGCAAACGTCTCCTTTTGGTAGATAGTCAATCATCTGGTTTCCAAATTTACAAGTAAACTCTTTGGTGGCAACACTAAGATTTTGGCTTCCCACAAATCAGTGTTTGGTTTTAATCTCAAGGACAAGGCGCCAGTCCATGTTCGAAATACGATAGTGTATTCTTTCTCTTGCTTCATTCAAGCGAAATAATTTGAGCTTTCTATGCGGTAACTTGGTAACGTCAAACCGGAATCGTACTAGATCAGTCAACATCCTTACAAGTTAGGTCACGCCAAATATATTTGATATCGGTCAAACAATCAAACCAGACAAATTACCCGAAGTCATGAATAATGTCCCATATATTGCCGGAACTAGATGCCGGGGTGTTGGTTGGAGACAGCTCAGACGGAGCCTGCGTTACCCGGAGTCTAAGTGTTCAGGGTGATTCGGATGAACTTTGAACTTGCCCTAGTCATGCCGGACGCGCCACCGCACTTTCTCACAAAAAAAGCTTTAAACCATTTTGTCAACTTAATCAAAGCATTATGTTTTGCCAGTTATTTACGTGTTGTTGCTTGTCCGCTTTACGCGACAAGCTAACAGTACCAGCTAGTTTCAATCATAATTATTATTTCAAACGCGGGAGCAAATGGTGAACTGAAAATGGGATCCAAAAACGTAGATTCTCCTGATAGAATGGGATCATTATGTCAGCAACAGATCATACATATTGGCCACAATAAAACCCAAAACAGGTCAATTGTAAGGCTTTTGTGTCGTCCAACATGTTAGATTGCACACAGAAATACACCACCGTCTCAGTGCAGGCAATAAAATAAGCCAAGGTGGTACACTTGTATGAATAACGTAGGAGCCGCATGGGTGTTGCAATGATGATTGGCCTAATTTTGTGTCATCCTCTAAATACAATAACTATGTTATCATTTTCAAACAATCAGCCTTGTTTCACTACGTCAAAGCATGTTATGCATTATAAGGCCACCGCTTTTGATATTCCGTGAGCGACCGCATCTTCATGCGTATCCCACACGTTTAATGTGGTGGTTTCAATATATCGGTTCCAAGATCAGTTTTGATGGTCCGAACTATACTGATGTCAGACAGTTTTGAAGGT